AATACACACACACAGTCCACCTCTGCAATACACACACACAGTCCACCTCTGCAATACACACACACAGTCCACCTCTGCAATACACACACACAGTCCACCTCTGCAATACACACACACAGTCCACCTCTGCAATACACACACACACAGTCCACCTCTGCAATACACACACACACAGTCCACCTCTGCAATACACACACACAGTCCACCTCTGCAATACACACATGCAGGACTGTGAGCCATCTGCCAGGGATGTGTATTTACAAGCAGCCCTGGCAGATCGTTCACAGCCTTGCAGAGCTGAGGGATGTCTTATAATTGTCTACTGCCAGAGACTGTCATGCAAAACTCTGTCTCCTTGTTGGCAGGGTTGTCGGACAGCGGTGGGTAAACTGTCCTACCACGCTGCTTGGCAATGGCAGAAATGGGACAAGGTGCTATATGGCCTTGGTCCCCAGCAGATAAGACATACAAATTACTGGGCAGGGATTATAATACCATTTAGGATCTCAGTGCAGCATTGTCAGGTCACTACAGAAAGTTAGGTGCTCACTGGATTTTTGGCCAACCAAAAAGGTGTTTGTTTTTTTTCTTTGTACTTTAAAGAGATGAAACATGTTAAAATGTGCATATATTAGAGAGTTGTACTAATATCTTATTTTGTCATTTGCTCTGACATACATTCTAAAATCTGTCCTTTCAAAGGACTTTGGCTTACCCTCCCTGTTAGCAGTTTAGGATTGTGCAAGAAAGAATGTTAATACCAGGGGTGAGGACATCTGATTGAGTATACCAGGTGGCAAATTGTAGTACCAACAGAAGATTAAGAAACATGCCCGTCACGAGTGCTTTAAATAACTGGAACAGCATTACTATCTTCCTCGCTGCGTTTCCACTTTATACAGTTTTATTGCCAGGAATGAAAACAAATCTGGTTCACAGCTGCGGTTTATCGAGTAAAAATGACAGCGACTCCAAAAACTGAACTCTACAAGCCACAATCACCTAAACAAAAAAACTACCGGGTGACTAGGACATGATTTTCAGTCCCATGAAAGGATATTGGCCATGACCGGTCTCCAATGAGCGCCAACCTGCTTCTGTGATTGCATGCTGCTGCCATCTTTCCACCATCATATGTGCACGACTGCACCATTGTACTTGATCAAACACAGATGAGTAATCATAGGACAGAAACATCGGCTTCAAATGACCAACCGCGGAAGCCCAAAACAATGGGAGGACCAAATCTTTTAGTTTCCATGGCTAAAATGTACACCAAATCCCCTGTGTAGTTGGACTTGAAGGATTCATCCTTCATTTTTTTCCGCCACATCAATGAGATTGAGGTCATCACTTCAATCTCATTGTACAACAGAAACAGGTCTAATTAAAAGTAGAACTCCAAGCAAACACAAAGCTAGGACTTATACAAGTAGCCCATCTATATAACCACTAAGAAATCATTAAAATGTATTTTTTTGTAACAAAGCAGCTAATATGATTACCCCAATTGTATCTTTATGCTAACTTGCCATAATCTCCTGAACAGCAGAAAGCAGACTCTGGCCAAACAGGCATTAATGACCTGCAAAATGCTGCCAGGCCAATATGTTCTCTGATACTAGTAGCTGGAGGTGTTGAAGCAGCTTAAGATGGCTATACACTGGTTAGATTTTGCCCAAGATGGCAGGACTAGTGTGTGGCCCCTTGGGGATAGCGACCCCCTCAGACATTCAACATTTTTTTCAAATCTACTTCGGTAAAAGAAAACAGACCGAAAAATTTTGTCTGCACAGTGATTGCAGTGAATCAGCCCGTGTTCGGGTATTCCGACAGTAGTGATAGTCAAAATACAATAGCCTAGTGGGATCGGTTAGCGTGGATGGAGGAATCAAGGAAAAATGGGCAGGACAGCTTTATAGAGACAAAGAGCTAAGGGAAGACCAAAATCAAGGACATGACAAAGGCTGAAAAGTGGTTCACACTGGACAGCGGTGTCACCGTCCTGGTTATTTAGTAGAGCAGGGGTGCGGGTTTCACAAGAGTGGCTGAAGAGAAGTACTATTTCAGGAGGGAAAATCAGTTCATGTAACTCTGACAACCTAACCACATACAGAAACTGGATATGAATACACTAGATCCTCAAGACGTGAACATCGATATGGAACAGTCTATGAAGACCCCTGGAATTAATTCTGGTTGCTGAGAATCCCAGATTGAATATGTGCTGATAATGAAACCAGCGCAACGTGAGCAGATGGGCGAGGAGAAAAAGTGAAGGCTTCACCAACGCCTCTTTACATGATGGAAGCCAACAGCCCAGTTGCCAAGCAACAATTGCATGATGAATGTCTTAAGGATGTGTTAAAAGTAACAATGCCTTCAATTTCAGAAGTCACGGTAGATCAAAGCAACCAATCCATCTCCTTTCACGAACTGCAACCACTGAATACATTAAAGTTGCTATGGGTTAACACACGATGTTGCTCTTTGCAGTATTTGATAAGATACTGGCCACTGTCAGCTTAACAGTTTTAATAGAACCTTGCATTACAAGATTAACACACACACAGGACGGCAAGGCTGGGTGGTGGAAGGCAGGTATATTTCGCCACTATTTGGGCTGTGGTCCCCTTATGGGGCCCAGAGGGTTAACCTTCCTGACACAGGAAGCAGCTGAAAAGGTCATCAACTCCAGAGAGGAGTGTGGGGGTTGAGGAGAAAGGAATCAGCTTTGACTAGTGAGAGACCTGCTGGATTGCTGTGCTGCAGTGTTACAGGACTTATATTCCTGGGAAGGGATTTCCCCAGGTTTGGAACTTTTTTTCCAACAAGTCGGTGAGACACATGTTCTGTTATTTGTGCCGAAGATTTGGACTGTTACTTAAAGTTAGCTGAAGATAAGCGTGTATTTTGTGTTCAATGTTTTTGGCTGCCCTGCAAGAGGTAAATAAAAGTTTTTGTTTCATTCAAAATCCTCTGTGCAAGTGCTCTGTGAGCTCCCCAATATCACAACACACACACACACACACACACACACACACACAATAAATATATACATACAGAATTGCTACTAAATTTGGGCTGCACATTGTCTGAATTACCAGTGAAAACTGTATTCTGGAGAAGCCATATTTGCTTGCTCTTAGTCTGCAAAATGAGTACTTCCTGGTTTCATGCTACCCTCAAAATCTTAGCAGACTTCATACAGAAAAGCCAGAGTAGAAAACTCAATAAATGCCAACACTACCAATCACATTACCAGGGTATAAGGAAATTTGCAGGAAATAGGGCGGCTTAGCAGTTCTGCATTTATGGAATGCCAGGTTGAAAACTGAACAACAAGTGGGCAGTGCCAAGCTCTGGCACTATAACGTTATCACACATTGTATTTATTTTCCAAAAAGTGAGTGGGCGATGTAGATTATAGTGTATTGTCAGAATGCCATTTTAGGTGCAACATCTGCTTTTTAACACTTTTTTTGCTATGGTGATGGGAGAGGGCATTGGTCAGATCTCTTTTTCAACCTAACCACTGAACCTTCACATTCTCACATAATTCATTCCCACAGCTACCTCATGTATCATTTCCCCCTCCTCTTTTAGGTTGTAAGCCCTCAGGGGCAGGGCCCTCCTTACCATCTTGTCTTGAATTGTATTGTAACTGTAATGTCTTCCTTATATTGTAAAGCGCTGCGCAAACTGTTGGCGCTATATAAATCCTGTATAATAATAATAATAATAATAATAAATAATAATAACATAAAGACCCCTTTGAGTGGCCATAATAATCCAACCCCTACACCTTAAACTGCAATTATCCTTGGATTGTTCCAAATGATAAAGTTGAAACTCAGACATAAATTAGAGGTCTTTGCCCCCCTTTGCTATCCCTGAGACACTTGCCTATGACTAGCCTTACTATCAATTTGCAAGAATTGCTGATGTGTATAGTAAATTCCCTGGTTTGCTCGAGATCCAGAAAGGCAAGTTTTTGAGTAGCGCTGCAGGGCTGGTGACATCTCTAGTGTAGCCATCCATGATGAACCTTCATCAAGGTTACCCTTACAGCTCTGGTTCTAAACTGGTCTTTACATGTCCTCCTTACTGTAAGCTCCCTGGGGCTTTCTGGAACATCTCAATGACAAGTCACAATCACCTTGCAGCTATTCTTTCCGACTACTGCAACATGAGGAACCACATAAGACAACAAAATAGACACCAGTAATGAATCAGTGGACAAAAACAGGTCACATCGTACAGGAAATATCCCAGAAGGAATTAGACTTGATGCATGCAATTTTGATGAGCTTAAAGAGACTCTGTAACCAGACTGTTTATGTCAACAAAAATCTTTCCATAAGTTAATTTTACCTATGTTATGAATGTTATTTACCCATAAAAGCCTCCCATGCACAGACATTTAAAAACTCTGAGACTGCTGCCATCTTGGATTTGTTGTTAGCAGCCCCAGGAGACTCACTCATTTAGGTGTCACTCTATAGTATTCCCCTTGACTCCACCCATGGTAACTACATGAAAGGTTATGCAGGGAGCGGAGATGTTGGGCCAGCACAGACCAAGACCCACAGAAGAGGAGCGAGCTATGTGTAGGGTCACATCAATTTAGTGCCAACAGTATGTTTTTAAACAAGTGCTCTTGGCATTATTTCTTTACTGAGAAACACACCGTGATCCCTCAATTTTCGTAATGTGTGAATAAGGGGGTAACAGGAAGTGAGATGGGGGGCGAGTAATTCCCTACCCGGGGGCACAGACAGGGAAATGGGTAAAAGCCCCTTTAGCCTCCCAAGTGGGGCACAACTTTGCAAGAAAGGTGGGAGTACAAGTATTGGGGGTGAAGTGGAGGCCAACAAGGTGCGTGAGAGGACACAGAGAAATTAAAGGGTAGAAGGTGCAGGTGAAGTTGGTGGCAGGGTCTCTTTAATATAGATCTACCCAATGTGTGAACATTTTAAAGGAAGAACAACTCTTCTGCCCTCCCTAAAAGTATCAAAGGCACAAGTTTAGCATCATAGCCACACAACCTGCTTCAGAGGGGTACACATAGCTAGGTTATCGATTATTAAAAAGGTAAGAGATGTGCCTGATACAGAACATGCCAGTCTGTGTTTGCAGGTCATGCAGTAACTATTTAATCTTCACATTTCCATATTTCCCCACCACATAAAGCCATCAGAGTCTCTTACCTGGGGTTACTTTTCAGTGTGTTCACCAAAAACTCATGGAGGTCTATACCGGTGGAATCAGTGTATTCCTGACTGGAATCTGTGAGTGAAAAGAAACAAAATTATTGAACTGACTCTAGTAAACACATATTTGATTTTAAAAAAAGTGAATAGTAGCTTGATACTTTGGGTATAAATACTTCACCCCAGAGTATAACTGGGTGAATGCAGCTTGCATAGAATTCCCAACACTAGATAGAGCCAAGGAGTATAGAAGTTTAATTTGCACCTCAACTCCATCTAGTGGTGGGAACGTAGTGTGGAGTGCCTTCACCCAGCTACACGCTGGGCAGAACATTAAGCCCCTTTGGTTCCCAGTAGCATGTCTTTAGGGAGTAGGAAGGATTTTACCCATTAGAGTAAACTAGATTGACTGCAATCTGTAAAAAATAAGTCAAGGCAACTGGACTTGCTGTATTTTCCTTAAAAGACGTTTCACTGGTCATCTGACCATCTTTTTTTAAATTCAGAATGAATATGGTGAATGTTGGTCCAATCCATTGGGAGATTTTCTCTAACTTCCTGTTGCATTTCTGGGAAAAAGTTTTAAATTGGTTGTGTTAATATAGAAATGTGCTGACAGAAGAACCTGGTCAGAGGTAAAGCTTCAAAATATTTATCTCTGCTTTTATTTGGATTGTAGAAACAAAAATAAATTTGATCAATTTCATAAGCTAGTAATACGGAGTGCTGGGCATACAACTGTGCGCTTGAAGTAAACGGTCTACACAATGCTCTTCTTTTGCTGGGAGTCAGTTCATCAGCTTGTCGGTTTTGTACTTTATATAGAGAACGTTTATAGCATGCCAGAGGGACGGACCTCACTAAATATGCGATTCATAAAAGGTAAAGGAACAAAAAGCATAAAATGTTCACGGTACAAAGAAACATGTTACCATAATCACCGTCTCTTTGGTTAAAAACGTAACTCTATTTCAGAGAGTAGAGAGGGGTCACTGCATATGTTTCTTGAGCAGAGAGAAAATCCCCAATTCTGAATAATGCAGATCCATAAATATTTATATAGAAGATGAAAGGGGAAGTTCACACAATATTTTTTATTGATGTATCCAGTGAAGGGAATACAGGGCAAAAAAATCACAAACCTCGTGAAAGCATTTTACGGGTGGACTTTTCATTTCCTTTCTCAGTTTCATCCTTCAAAGGCTTTTCTTCTTTTCCTGGTGACGGTGCGGGCTGGACCTGTATCGGTTCCTGAAGATGAAAGGCAGATCTTAATAAACAGAAGCCATCTGCTTCGGACAGACTTTCTTAGAACCAGGCAAGGGCCTGGAATATCCTCCCTTATAGCAATGGATGGCTAAGCTAAAGATCCGACCCATCATAAAAGTCTATACAGTCCTTCACTGGACAGTTCTGTATTGCCGGGCCCAATCCCATAACCACATTCAACATCAGAGACCAAGCTAACCTGTCAGCCTCTTTAAACCCAAGGTCCTCTGAAAAACAGAATGCCAAATGCCTGCAAATACTTTATTAGCCAAATATAGATTCAATTTATTTCTGGGGTCTTGATTTCCATTACATCCCACCAATGAAAGAGCCTCAA